TTGACCACTATCCCTTATCAATTTACACAGAAATTCTTAACAAAATACTAGGAAACTAAATCCAGTCACATATAAAAGTATTATACATGTGACCAACTTGGATTTATCCCAGAAATGTAAGGCTGGCTTAATAAAAACCAACCAGTGTAATGCACCATAAAAATAAAGAGCCAAAACTACATGATCATCTCAATAGACACATATGACAAAAACTAATAACATTCATGATAGAAATACTCAAGAAACCAGTTGTTAGAAGGGAACTTTCTCAACTTGAAGAGACTGTTGTAGTTTCTTAGATTCTGTACTTGTCTTTTCACCATCCATTCATCATAAGTGCCATTGTATTAACTATATACTCTATATTCTTAATTCTAGGGCATCATTTCAGGTCTTAAAAGTTTTTAATTCATTTTGAGTTTTTTTAATATAGTGAGAGATAAAGGTCTAGTTTCATTCTTTTTCATATGGATATCCAATTTCTCCAGCATCATTTATTAAGAAGACTTTCTTCCAATGCATGTTCTATAAACCTAATCAAAGGTCATATGCTTGTAGATACATGGGTATACTTCTAGTATTCTGTTCCATTTATTGATGTGCTCTTTTTTATGCCAATAGCATGCTGTTTTCAATTACTATAGCTTTGTTGTATATTTTGAAATTAGGTACTACGATGCCTCATGCTTTGTTCTTTTTGTTCAAGACTGCTTTCCCTATCTGTTTTCTGTGGTTTCATACAAATTTTAGGATTTTTTAGCTCTATAAATAATCTCATTTGTATTTTGATAGGATTATATTAAATCTGTGGATCACTCTGAGCAGTATGGACATTTTAAGAATACTGATTCTTCCAATCCATGAACAGAGGGTATCTTTCCATTTATTTGTGTTCTCTTTAGTTTCTTTCCCATTTTATAGTTTTCATTGTAGAGATCTTTCATTTCTTTGATTTAAAATTTATTACTAGGATTTGGTTTGTTTTTTATTGTTGTGTTGTTTTGTAAATACTGGAAATGGAATTGCATTATTGGTTTCTTTTTCAGATAATTCACTATCAATGTATAGTAATGGCTACTGACTTTCGCATATTAATTTTCTGCTCTGTTACTTTGCTGAATTTACATTCCAATAGTTTTTTGGTAGTCTTTAAAGTTTTCTATATATGAGATCATGTCATCTGCATACAGTTAGAGTTTGATGTCCCCCAATGCAATTTAAACGCCTCATTTCTTTCTCTCGCTTAGTTGCTCTAAGACTTCCAGTACTATGTAGAATAAGTGGTAAAAGTGGGCATCATTGTCTTGTTACAGATCTTACAAAGACTTCAACTTTTCCCATTCAGTATGTGATGTTAGCTGTTGGCTTGTATCTGACCTTTATTATGTGGAGATACGTTCCTTCTGTACCTAATTTGTTGAGTTTTTATCATGAAAGGATGCTGAATTTTATTAAATGCCTTTCTGAATCTATTGAGAAAATCACAAGGTTTTTGCCTTTCAATTGATGTGGCATTACTGATTTGTTTTCCCGAGTGGCCTTGAACTTCTGGGCTCAAGCAATATTCCTACCTCAGTCTCCCAAGTACCTAAGACTACAAGCATGTGTTACTGAGCATGATTTGATGATCTTTTTAATGTGCTGTTGGATTTGATTTGTTAGTATTTTGGCAAGGATTTCCTCATCTATGTTCATCAAGGATATGGGCCTATCACTTTCTTTCATTGCTGCCTTGTCTGCTTGTAGTATCAGGGTAATGCTGGCCTTACAGAATGAGTTTGGAAGAATTTCCTCCTCTTCAATTTTTTGGAATAATTTAATAAGAAGTGGTATTGGTTATCTTTTAAATATTTTTTAGAAATCTTCAGTGAAGTCATCTGGCACCAGGTGGATCCAAAAGCTCCACTGGGTAGGCACTGGGGATAGGGACCATTAGGATCTTCCCAATGTTAGGTTTTACCAGCCTRGCACTGAGTTCCAAGACATGGTTCTGTGTTCACTTTCCTGCCCTACTCCCCCTACTAGTGGTGTCTTACTTCTTGCTGTCTGCCTGAGGTTGGAGGAGGGATGGTGGAGGCAAGTCCTTGGCTGCCCAGGCTGACACTAAGCTGGGTTACACCTAAGTCTGACAACCACAAAGATATATGCAGTCTCCAGGGTGCACATTAGGCCTGATACAGTTGGCAGTGATGCAGGATGAAACATGAGTTCATTCTACTAGGATATATCTCTCTGACTGATGCTTGAGGCAGGACTAGAGGCTTCTATTAGAACTGGCCTAGGAATTGGGACATTTGGGCTCTATATTGTGCTGGGTCTAATGGAAGTAGATTCTACTCTGAGCTCCATGGCAGTCTTGTTTACTTTCCTGTCCTTGCTCCCCTGTAGTTCAAGTCTTACTTTAAGCTTCTGCTCAAGGTTGGGGAAGAGGTGGTGGCAGCATTCCCATGGCTACCATGCTATGAAGGGTTTAGAAGCTCAGTCTGCAAGTACTGGCCCAAGGAGAGGGGCTATGGGGTCCTGTCTGGCATTTGGTTTCATCTTGGTGGACCTGGTACTAGGTTTTAAGTCTAAGGTGTGGACTTAATTCTCTCTCCCTCCCCACGTGAAAGTATCTCTTTTCACACTGTTCTGCATGGAATTGCAGGAGGGATGATGTGTGTAATTCTTCACTGCCTTCTTCAATGTGTCTTCTACTATTACACTAAAATCAGGCACAGCTTTATTGAGGATGTAGCTCAGAAATACCAGGAGGAGAAAAAAAAAAGTATACCACCATATAGCAACCATTGGAAAAACAAATCAGAAAACAAATAATATCAGAAAAATAAACTTTAAAATAAAAAAAAATTACTAAAAATAAAGTAATACTTTATACTGATGAAAGGGTCAAATCATGAATAAGCTAAACAATTATAAACTTGTATGCATCCAATAACACAGCACCACAATATATAAATCAAAAACTAAGAGAAATAAAAGAAGTATGTAATTAAAACATAATAGTGACTCCAATACCCTACCCACAAAAATATTAACAGAGGTTCAACAAGGAAATATGAGACTTAAACAGCATTATAAAACCAAATAGACCTAACAGACAGTTATACAACACTCTACCCAACAAACTTGCATTCTTATCAAATACACAAGAACATTCGTTCTCCAAGAAGACAAGGTGCTAGGCCATAAAACAAACCTCAATAAAATTAAAAGGACAGAAATAATGTCAAGTATATCAACCAACAATAGAATGAAATTGGAATTCAATAATAGAAAAATTTAGGAAACTCAAAAATGTGTGGAAATAACATTCCAGATAGCCACTGAACCAGAAAAGGAAACTCATAAAATACTAGAGATGAATAAAATGAAAAATATAGCATACCCATACTTATGGAAATTAGGAAAAGCAGATCTAAAAAGGATAATTTATAGCTCTGAGTGCCTAAATTAAGAAAGAAGAAAGAAATCAATAATCTAGCCTTTCATCATATGACACTAAAAATAAGAAAACAAACTAAACCAAAAGCAACCAGAAGGAAGGAAATAATTATAACTATAGTGAAAAATAATGACATAGAGAAAAGAAACACAATATACAGAATAAATGAATCCAAAAGCTGGTTCTTTGCAAAGATAAAAAAATTTTGAAAAATCTTTACCTAGTTTTACAAAGAAAAAGCCTGAAAACTCAATTTACTAGAATCAGAAATGAAAAAGGGAACAACTACCAACTCTACAGAAATAAAAAAAAATTATAAATAAATCCCATGAACAACTGTGCTAAAAAATTATATGACCTAGATAAAATGGACAAAACCTTCATGACTTTGAATTTGGCAAAGGATTTTTAGTTATGACAGCAAAAATGCTATCAATAATAGGACACTATCAAGAAAATGAAGACAACCTACAGAGTGGGAGGAGATATTTGCAGTTCAGATATCTGAAAAAGGACTTGTATCCAGAATATATAAAGAACTCTTACAACTCAATCATAAAACATGACTGGATTAAAACATGAGAAAAAGATCTGAATGTACACTTAACCCAAAGAAAATATACAAATAGTCAAAGAGCCTTTTAAATATGCCTGAAATAATCTGTCATCAGGAAAACATAAATCATAACCATAAGATATTTATTTCACACACACTACTATGGCAAGAATAAAAAAAATTAAGAAAACCACAAGTGTAGTAATATCAGAACCCTCATACTTGCTAGTGGGAATGTAAAATAATGCAGCCTCTTTAAAAACTGTGGCAGTCTCCAAAAGTTCAATATAGTGTTACCAAATGAACAGGAATTCCACTCTTGGGGATACATCAAACAGAAATGAAAAGCAAACACATGTCCACACAGAAATGTGTACACAAATGACTATACCAGCATTTGTATTCATAATAGCCAAGACAAGAAAGCAACCAAAATGTCTATCAATGGATGAACTAATAAAATGTGACATACATATGCAATGGAATATTATTTGGCCATAAAAGTGAATGAAGTAGTGATACATACCACAACACAAGTGAAACCTGAAAACATAAAGCCAAGTGAAAGAAGTCTTTTATAATTATGTAAGATCACAAAGTATATGATTTCAGTCACGTGAAAGGCCAGAACTGGGAAATCTATAGGGACAGAGGTAGACTTAAGACTAGGTTAGCAATGGGGAGATAAGGGTAAAAGCTAAAGGATATAGGTTTATTTATACCGTGATAAAAATATTCTAAAATTGATTGTGATAAAAAAATAAATAATCAAAATGTAATAACAGATACACCTGACTGAATACATTCTGTACAATTTAAATAGGTGATTTATATTGTATATGTAAATTAACCTCAATAAAATAATGCTCAATGCTTTAATCAGCTTGTTTTTAAAACAATATGATCACTTTCATTTTAGCTACTAAATAAATTCAAAATAATAATTACTGTTAAAATGCTTTCTAGTCCTAAGAAATTGTCATTGTTTTTTTTTCTTACCATTATCTCCACTTATTCTTATTTCATATTCTTTGTAGAGTTTTCCTATGCTTTTCAAAATGTCCTCCATGTCCCGTCGCTCTGGTGGCACCTCCCCCTCCATATTTTTATGGCGACTAAAAATTCCAAGCCCAATATTCACCCAGTTTTCCTGTAAATGTTTAATAATCTTGAGGGTATCATGTTTTGACATTAGAGCATCCCCAGTATACTTTTCCTTCTGTTCAGCCAGCATCTAGAGAATAAAGAGGAGGAGGAAGTAGCACATTATTCATCAAAGTCTACCTAGATCCTTATTCCCCAGTTCCCTTGATTACTTTGGAGTTACATAGCCATTTTACTATTGTTCATACCATTTCTTCTCCAAAAAAGTGGTGTATGAAAGTATTTCATTTTTAAAAGCAATATAAATTTAACTTAATTTTAATACCTATGAAATAATGCACAGTTTGCCAGGATGAAAATCATTATATTGAATCCTATGAGGGACAGGCTAAGTCCTAAAGAGCTGAACATGTTTTATTATAGCAAGGTTGTAATACGTCTGTTTACATGATCCCCATTATACTGGAAAATTTGCTAGCATGAATAAGTGTTTGATTCATATAAAATTTATTGGTCTCTCCCAAGTCCAACTCCTAAACAAGAAATACCAATAATATTAGTGAAAAAAATAAAGAACAATTTAGACATAAAGTTTGTCATTATTTGTTACTCAGATAAATAGATTTATCACCCACCTTTTATTAAGAGTAATCACTGTAAGGAAGAATTTTAACAGACCAACTAAGAGTAAGAATTTTGGAGTTAGACCCAGATTCAAATGCTCACTGTACCACTTACTATTCATAGATAACTTAAGTAATTTAACACTTCTATGCTTTCATTTCTGCATATGTAAGATAAGGATTACAAGATCTGCACCATATAGTTGCCAAAAAGTAAGATAACACATGGAAAGCACTTTCAGCCTAACAAAGAATAAGTTTTTAATAATGACAATTATTATTATTCCTGGTAAACATGACTTTTAAAATTTTATCTATGTATATCAAAACTGCCGGTATATAGTAAAAAGTCTCTAAAGTAGATATATAGTATATAGACCACAAACATGAGAATATTGTGATCCCAAAAACAAAGAAAATGGGTTCTTGGGAATCTAGATGAGATTTCATTAGATCCTGAATTTGCTATTAACCTTGGAAGTATTTCAGTTTAGTATGTTTTGGGCAGACTACTGTAACATAATAATTTAATTAATGAAACTTATTTTCAAAGGTCAACCCCATTTTAAAAGAAGTAATTAGGGCTGGGGATGTGGCTCAAGTGGTAGCGCACTCGCCTAGCATGTGTGAGTTTGATTCTCAGCACCACATAAAAATAAAATAAAGATATTGTGTCCACTTAAAACTAAAACAAAAATAAATATTTTTAAAGAAGATGTGATTAATTAAAAGATGTGATTAAAAATATATATTTAATATTATGTATGTTTTACTACAGTAAAAAAGATGTTATTAATTTTTCTTGGTGGGGGGGGTACTGGGGATTGAACTCAGGGGCACTCCACCACTGAGCCATATCCCCAGCCCTATTTTGTATTTTATTTAGAGACAGGGTCTCACTGAGTTGCTTAGTACCTTGCTATTGCTGAGGCTGGCTTTGAACTCGAGATTCTCCTGCCTCAGTCTCCCAAGCCACTATTACAGGCATGTACCATCATGCAAAGAATATGTTATTAATTTTTAAAGTCCAATTTGTCCTTAAGACAAAAGCCAGATTTGTGTCAAAATAAGCACAAATGTTACTTGTGTCCAAATGACAGACTCTGAACTACTCCCTCACTGCTACCCAGGTATCTGATCCCTTTGTTCCCACTAGCAGCCTAACTTTATTTTATCCCAAAATCTGAAATAGAATTTACAATGTTTAAGCATATTTTTAAATCATTGTGGTCTTTCTGTTTTGTCTTTCATAAAACTAATAATGGTACTTTTAAAGGATAAGCTGTAACTCAGATGGAGGTGAGGAGTTTCAATTTTACAACCAACACTTCAATTTCCAAGCTGTTTTTAGAAAGTCTTACCCTTTGCCATTGCCTGAAGTCTGAAAGAACTAAATTGCATAAATTTTCCTTATTAGAGGATAAAATGTCTTTTGCACTGGAAGAAGAAAAAAGAGCAAGAGAAAGGTCTTAGAATGAGGTATAAACGAAGAAAATCATAGGTCCATACAGTAACAATTCTCCTCAACAATTTTTAGGCATGTTTTCCAGATTCAACCCTCACCCCATAGACAATCATCCTTATTTTTTATTAACATAATAAAATTGTATTTATTATATAAATTAGTGGGCTTCACTGTGAGCATTCATCTTTAAATTTACACATACATATTTTTTATTTTTATTTTTAGATTCTAAGTGAACCTGAGCAATTGTCACAGGCCCATGGGAAACAATAGTATCTTTTTAAAAGGGTGGGCTGTAGCCTTGGGAACTCAAAACTAGATCAATATAAGAAGAATTCCTGACACGTACAGGAGCTTCTTTTGATTTCTCCAGAGTCTCAGAAGGAAAGCCTATTTTTAAAAAAGAAGAGTGAATTATGGCCAACCGTGCTAGTCTCACAGATAAGAGTCAGAGAAGTATGCACATGGCAGCAGCAATCAGCCTGGAGATATACCAGTTTCCGTTTCCAGAACTTCCAGTCTACTAAGTGGGAAACCTTTTAGGGTTTGTGAAAAACTGAAACTAATGTACTCAACTTGACACAGAAATGGTACCTAAAAGATGTTTCTTTGACAATGTATCTTAAAGGTGAAGAAAAAATACTTAGAAATTATCCTGTCTATATCCAAATTATAGATGCCCATTATACTTTGGATAGTGATTCATCCATTCTCAACTTCACTAACTTATTATTAGCTTCTTCCATTATAAGTACTCTAATCATTAAAAAATATGATATTCAATCAAAATTGATCTTTCTGTAAATGTCACCCATTGATTCTATGCTACAGAATTTGCAAATATTCAGATATTTGGATATTCAAGTGTGCCAACAGAAATAACATAAATTGACTTTATTTTAAAAAGAGAGAAAAGAAAAATAGTTGGACTTAAATGAAGGCAACAGGGGCTGGGGCTCAGTGCTTGCCTCACATGTGTGAGGCACTAGGTTTGATTCTCAGCACTTTATATAAACAAAGAAAATAAAGGTCCATTGACAACTAAAAAAAATTTGTTTTTTTAAATGAAGGCAACAGCAGTAAGGCAAGGAGATCAAGAGGGACCTCGGAAATAATGAGCACTACAAACCACCAAAGTGTTCAAGGTCCGTAACAGCATTCTGCCCTAGTAAGGGATGCTGGTTAATTTCCCTAATATCAATGTTAGAGTAATTACAAAGTGGGAGAGAAAGAGATAGAGAGAATTGGACTGAGTTATCAGATGCGATATGATAAAATCAGAAAAAAAAGATTCTTGGAGACCCACTTATTTACGAAGAACTGCTGCCATTTGATAAGGCCATCTTTAATTATCTGCAATGTCTCCTTCGTAGATTCTTCGTTTCGTTCCGCCTCCTTTTTAAATTTGTTCATTGAGATTTTCCATTTCACTGTCAACTTCTGTAACACTGCAAGGTCTACAGTGTCCTAAAATGCACAGAATCTAATTATCCACTTATTCATGTAACAAATATTTATTAACATTATTAATATTAACCAGGCCATTTTTAATATTACAATACTTCGAACAATCCATAGCAAATTTTTCAAAACTTTATGAAGAAATTCCTCTTTCAAAATATCATTAGTGACATAATTTTCAATGATACTTTAAATATTAGGGATAAGACTTCTTCCTTCTGAAACATGGACCAAATTTTCCAAACATGGACTTTCACAGGGGCAGGTGATACACTGGCAATAACAAGAACCAGGAAGCCAGACAGGATCAAATGTGAATCCTAGACATTCACTGGCTGTGCAACCTTGAGTAACATTATTTAATCTATTTGAAGTTAATTCTTGTTATCCATAAATTAGCAACCTGTTGTGGTTTAGATATGAGGCATCCCCCCAAAACTCATGTGTGAGACAATGTAAGAATTTTCAGAGGTGAAATGATTATGAGAGGTGTGACCCAATCAGTGTATTAATCCACAGATATGAATTAACTAGGCGAGCTAGATGTAGCTGGAGGAGGTAGGTTACTGGGGTGTGCCTTTGGGGTTTATATTTTGTCCCTGGGGAATGAAATTCTCTCTGCTTTCTGGTTGCTGTGTTTTGAGCTGCTTTCTTCTGCCCCACCCTCCTGCCATGATAGTCTGCCTCATCTTCGGTCCTSAGGTATGGAATCTGCAAACCGTGGACTGAGACCTCTAAAACTTGAGTGTCAAATAAACTTTTCCCCCTCTACATCATTCTTCTCAGTTCTTTTGGTCAAAAAAAAAAATACAAAAACAAAAACAAAAACACCTGTTTAAAACAAAATCCTGGGGCTGGGATTGTGGCTCAGCAATAGAGCGCTCGCCTGACACATGCAGGGCGCTGGGTTCAATCCCCAGCACCACATAGAATAAATAAATTAAATAAAGATATATTTTAAAGTATCCATGTGCTTATAAAAAATCCCTAATACATATCTCATCAAATTGTTTTRAGAATTAAAGGAAATGACAAGTGTAAATGGTTTGACTCAATAGAAACACACTAAATTCCAGTTCCTTCCTTTTCTCCCCCCCTAAAAATCATTGGATTTTCTGATAAACTTGCACAGAATGTATCTATAAAACAACTACTTACTTTATTTTTAGTTTAAACACTACTAGAATAATTCTATGAAAAACATCATAGTGTTATTAAGCTCAAATTACCAGAATTACAATAGAAGAGGAATTTACTCTCCCTTAAATTTTTTTCCATTATACTCACAAAAAAAGCACAAATATAAAACTATATTTAAAATTTTGCAAATTTAACAAAGCAAATCAATATTTGGGTCCTAACCCTCAACACCTGCAGTCTCTTCTCCCATAATGTAAGCGGACTGAGCTTTACCTTGTTTGACAGCAATATGATGAAATGCCTTGCATATTTATTCCAACCTTTTTCATTGAGGTAGAGTCTTTTAGCCAAAATGACTCTATTTCTTTCAATTACCTACAAAAAATAATGTACCATGATCAGGAACCTAAAACATTAACAAATCACTATAATTTATTATAGTAGTTTCACATGTCAATGTTTCATTGAATCATTATCTGAATCAAAATTTTTTGTTTAACCACTAATTGAATCACAAATTCACATTTTCTAAAACTACTGAACTGTAACCAAACTCAAGTATAGTACATAGTAGAGGTTTTTAAACAATTTGATCTCAAGAACCCTTTATACTCAAAAAAACTACTGAAGGGCTAGGGATGTGGCTCAAGCGGTAGCGCGCTCGTCTGGCATGCGTGTGGCCCGGGTTCGGTCCTCAGCACCACATACAAACAAAGATGTTGTATCCGCTGAAAACTAAAAAATAAATATTAAAATTCTCTCTCTTAAAAGAACAACTTAAAAAAAAAAAACTACTGAAGATTCCAAAGTGCTTTTATCTGTATGGACTACATCTATTTATTATACTGGAAATTATATTTATTATACTGGAAATTAAACTAAAATTATTTAATATATATATTTATTTGTCAATTCACTTAAAAGTGTTAGTAAATCCATTATATGTTAATATAAATAGAATTTTAACAAACTACATTTTTTAAAAAATGAATAAAATGTTATTGTTTTACATTTTTACAAGTATTTTTAATATATGCCTAGTAGAGTTGATTCTCATATTTGCTTTTGCATTCAATCTGCTGCAACATCCCTTGTCTAATAGCTTCTAAAAAATCCACTGCACACTCATAAATGAATGAGAGTGAAAATGGCAAGTAACAACTTTTTAAAATATATTTTTAGTTGTAGGTGGACACAATGCCTTTATTTTTTAAAATTGATTTTTATGTGGTGCTGAGGATTGAACCTAGTGCCTCACCCATGCTAGGCAAGTGTTCTACCACTGAGCCACAACCCCAGCCCCAGAAAGAACATCTTAATGTTCTTAAGAAATTAATTTTGACATCACAGAGCTACCAAAAAGGTCTTTTGGATCCTCCCCACTCCCCAAGGTTCCCTGAGCCACACTCTGAGAATCACTTAATGAATGACTGTTCTAGACACTGTGGATATAGCCATGAACAAAAAACAAAAGTCCTCGTTTCAGAGTTAACATTCTAGGTGATATTTTTCCAGTTGGAAGGTACTTTAGGGATAATCTAACACACACCCCGTCAATGCAAGATAATCCTGTACAGAAAGGCTCACCAGGGGTCAGTTATCTACTATTTAAATTCCTTAGTGTGAGGAAGCACACTTGTCTTTTTTTTTTTTCTCTCCTACTGAACTAATATGCCTAGTTCAATCTTGTTTCTTACATATATAGTGTCATGACTGTTTCCTCTGAATATGTCAATGATGGAGCAGCCACAGTCTCTCCCCATCAGGAAGCAGGCAATGACTGAGTCTGGGGTTTGCTGCTGCTAACTCTGTCCCTGCTATGACCTGCTTTTGGCTCGGGCCATAGGACCTTAGTATCCTGAGACATTTTAGATTCTTAGCTCCCAAGACTGATATGGTCAGAGCTCATCATATCAAAGTTAAAAAGCTCAGAAACATTCCAAGTGGTGGATTGGTGTCGGCCCATAAATGCAAGGAAAAGACCATTTCCTATGAAAAGGCGGTGGACCTGGACATAAATCTAGGGAAGTTGTCTGTGAAGAACTCCGAAGGCACAGCCCATAAAATGCCCAATACCTTTGCCTCATATGCAGTCTATGACTAGAGCACCAAGCAGTTTGGATTCTATGATAAGATGTTCTGACCACTCATGGACTCCGTCCTGCAAAGTTTTAATGGGACCATTTTGCCTATGGACAAACTGGGACTGGGAAAACCTACACTATGAAAGAAGTCCATGGTGACCCTGAAAAAAGAGGGATAATCCCCAATTCATTTGACCACATCTTTACCCACATCTCTTGATCACAAAATCAGCAGTACCTTGACAGGGCTTCTTTCTTAGAGATCTACCAGGAGGAGATCTGAGATTTGTTCTCAATCAGACCAAAAGGCTGAGTTCAAAGAGAGCCCTGACACAGTAATGTAGACAAAGACTTATCTTCCTTTGTCATCAAAAGCATGAAGGAGATAGAAGATGTGATAAATGTGGGGAACCAGAACCAATCTCTTGGTGCTACCAACATGAATGAGCACAGCTCATGTTCTTGTGCTACTTCTGTCATCACTATCAAGAGCAGTGAAGTCAGTCTTGATGGTAGAAACCACATCCAGGTAGGGAACCTGGTAGATCTTGTTGGCAGTGAATGGCAAGTCAAGATCAGTGCACAGGGAAAAAACTGAAGGAAGCAACAAAGATCAACCTTCCCTTTCAGCCTTGGGTAATGCCATCTCTGCCCTGGTAGATGAGAAAAGCAGTCACATTCCATATCCAGACTCAAAACTTACCAGGCTCCTCCCAGATTCCCCTGGTGGCGATACGAAGATTGTACAGTAGCCAATGTGAGTCCTATATTATACAATGTAGAAGAGGCTCTGACCACTTTTAGATATGCCACCCATGGCAAAACCATTGAGAACAAGCCAAGGGTCAATGAGGAACCAAAGGATGCCCTCCTTCCATAATTCCAAGAAGAAAATGCTCAACTCCAGGCCCAGCTGGAAAAGCAGTCCATTGGCAGGAGGAAGAGGCAAGAGAAGTGGAGGGAAAGTGATAGCAGTGGAGGGAGGGAGGAGAAACAGGAAGGAGAAGGGGGTKAGGAGAAAAGCAATGATGAGGATGATTACTGGAGGGAACAGCAAGAAAAACTGGATTGAGAAGCCAGGCCCTTGTAGAAGACCACAGCTTGGTTGTAGAAGAGAAGATGAGGGGACTGGGTTGTGGCTCAGTAACAGAGCATTTGCCTGGCATATGTGAGGCCCTGGGTTTGATCCTCAGCACTGCAGATAAATAAATCAATAAAGGTCCATTGATAGCTAATACACACACACACACACACACACACACACACACACACACACACATTAAGGGGGAGGGGGGGGAGAGAGAGAGAGAGAAGTTGAGGCTGCTAAATAAGAAGGAGAAAAAGATAGATGGAGGACATGCAGTAGGAGAAGGATGCTGCTGAGATGCTAGGTACCAAAATCAAGGTACCATGCATTCCTAGGCCCTTTCCCCCATCACTGCTTTTTCTTTTACTTAAAAAAAAATACAGGGGCTGGGGATGTGGCTCAAGAGTTAGTGCACTCGCCTGGCATGCATGTGGCCCGGTTCGATCCTCAACACCACATACAAAGATGTTGTGTCTGCCGAAAACGAAAAAATAAATATTAAAAAAATTTWAAAAAAAAATACAAAGGCCAGGCACAGTGGTGTATGTCTGTAATCCTAGTTACTCGGGAGGCCAAGGCAGAAGGATCCAAGTTAACAGCCATCCTGGACAACTAAGCAAGACCCTGTGTTAAAATAAAAAGGGTTGGGGGAATACACAGTGGTAGAACACTTGCCTGGCATGCATGAGAGCCTATACTGAACACCACACACACACACACACACACACACACACACACTCACGAAAAAGATACTAAGGATTTTTTTTGGTTAGCCACTTCCAACAGCTCCATGTTCATCTAGCGCTCAATAAACATTTGTTGAATTGAATTAAAATGAAGAAAACAATTTTTTCAAATTTAAAAATAAATAAAAATTGGATTTATAATAATAATTAAATATATGCACAGTATAAAAAACAGCAATAACTCTAATACCCATGATGTATCCCCCCACACCAGACCTTAAATTATACTACAGAGTATATGGCATGGTATTGGCACCAAAACAGACATGAAGACCAATGAAACAGAATAGAAGACACAGAGACACACCCACATAAACAGTTATCTCATACTAGACAAGGGCACCATAAACATACATTGGAGAAAAGATAACCTCTTCAACAAATGGTGCTGGGAAAACTGGAGATCCATATGTAGTAGACTGAAATTGAAACCCTATCTCTCACCCTGCACAAAACTCAATTCAAAGTGGATCAGTAAAACCAGGAATCAATAAATGCAATGGAATCAAACTAAAAAACTTCTTCACAGTCAAGGAAACAATCAAGAGTATGAAGAGAGAGCCTACAGAATGGGAGAAAATCTTTGCCACCTGCACCTTAGATAGAGCATTAATTCCCAGGATATACAATGAACTAAAAAACTTAACACCAAAACCCAAATAACTCAATCAATAAATGGGCAAAGGAACTGAACACACACCTCACAGAAGAAATATGATTGGTGGGGGCTGGGATTGTGGCTCAGTGGTACAGCGCTCACCTAGCACATGCGAGGCCCTGGATTCAATCCCCAACACCTCATAAAAATAAATTAATTAATTAAATAAAGGTATTTAAAAATGTAAGCATAATATATTATAAAAAAAGAAATAGATCGGTCAACAAATATATGAAAAAATGTTCAACATCTCTAGCAATTAGAAATATGCAAATTAAAACTATACTGATATTCCATCTCACTCCAGTCAGAATGGCAATTATCAAGAATACAAGTAACAATAAAAGTTGGAGAGGATGTGGGGAACAAGGTACACTTATATATTGCTGATGGGACTGCAAACCACAATGGAAAGCAGTATGGAATTCCTTAGAAAACCTGGAATGGAAAACATAAGAAGAGAGTACAATATCTAGACTACAAATGAAAACAATTCATACAATTTTCTTTCTCAGGTTTTAGTGAAAGGTATGCAGCAGAATCTTTAGAAGCTTCTGCTGTTCCCTTCTCTCAGAGGGTACACCTCATCCTGAATTTGGTTCTTACCGTTTCCTTCCTCTTCTTTAAAGTCCTTCCATTTATGTATATAATTTTAAATAAAACAGAGGTCAGTTTCATGTGATTTCTTACTTTTCAAAAATTATTATTGGGGCTGGGGCTGGGGCTCAGCAATAGAGTGCTCACCTAGCATGTGCAAGGTGCTGGGTTCAATCCTCAACACCACATAAAATTAATAAAGATATTATGTCCAACTACAATAACAACAAAAACTTTAAAAAAATAAGTAAAAACAATTACCAATGACTTTTTTACAATTCTGCATCAGGATGGATGTAACCTAGATAAGGTTTGACCATTCCAGAGGAATATGGGACAACTATCTCCACCTATTTTCTTTCTTCTCATCTTGTCAGATCTAGCATTATTTTAAGAACCATCTCATGAAATTGCCTTATAGTGAATTTGCAGTCATTTCAATGCCATTGAACTTTTTTCTTACATGGGTTGCTTTTACACTGGGTCTCATTAGGTGTCTGCCCTGAATTTGATCTATTTGTCCCTGAAGACAGAATATCATGGTAATTGGGAGTTCAGGCTCTAGAGCAGACTTGCTAGGYATTACTTATGTAAACTTAGGCAAATTCCCTGAGTCCCAATTTCCTCATGTGAAAAATGAGGGTAATTATGGCCCTCTTTCATGAGATCACTGAAAAAACAGTGCTAATTACTCCTTTAGTAAATATCTGACACATAGTAATGAATGATAGCTGCTATTCTTTTAAATGTTATAATCATAGTATTATTAATGTTAATAACATTAATAAGGATAATCTATACATGTATCCCTGCTAATATTTCATTTGTTTGGATAAGCCTATCATTCTAGATTGATGCAATATTTGAATCTCTCAGTTTTTAAGTTTTTGTCAATTATTTTTGTTTTATCAACCAGAATATGGCATGTTGCCTGACCCATAAGGTGCTCAAACTTTGCTTTAAAAATTAATATTTCCCGGGTCTGGGGTTGTGTCTCAGTGGTAGAACACTTGCCTAGCATGCAAGAGGCACTGGGTTCAATCCTCAGCACCACATAAATGTAAAATAAAGATATTGTGTCCACCTAAAACTAAAAAATAAATATTTTTTTAAAAAATTAATATTTCCCGCCAGGCGTGGTGGTGCACACCTGTAATCCCAGGGACTTGGGGAGCTGAAGCAGGAAGATCACAAATTCAAAGCCAGTCTAAGCGACTCAGCAAGACCCTGTGTCTAATTAAGATCTTTTAGTGAAATTTTAGAGTTTTCACTACTGTTTAGGTCTTATTCCTGTTGTTTTGCCTCTGCATTTTAAATTGCTAATTATTGATGTGTATTTGCTGGGTTCTGCAAACAGTATTTATCTTGTATCTAGCTACCTTAATAAAGGCTAATTAACTCAAATAATATTTACATTCATTTTTCCAGTTTTCTGACTAAATAATTTTATCACTAGCAAATAACAGAATTTTGCACCTTTCTTTCAGTATTTATACTTCTTGGTTATATTTGTATTTTATTATCTTAACTAATAAGTTCAGTGACAGCCGAAATTCTAGGAATAACAGAAAACCCTTTTCTCTTGAATGGGAATATCTCTAACACGTCCCCAATAATGCTCCAGATTTCTAATAATTATTTCTGTCAAGTAAATAAATTTTCCCAAATAAACAAGTCTGCCGCAGTCTGGCTGGGCACAATTCAGGAGCCACTTGTCAAAAGAAACTAACTTTATTTTTAGAACTATAAACGCCAAGCAAAACAGCTCCTCAGGAAAAACCCTCAGAGCCCAACTGCCACCACCGGCTTCCACAAGCCTCTCACC